CATCTTCACCGCAGTCGCCAAGGCGTGGGGTGATGGTATGGACCAATGGGAAGACCGATATTTTCTTCGTGGACCCCGGACTGAAGGTGAGCGCTGACTGATCAACTGAGCAACTCATGAGCAACTCGGGGAAAACCGAGAATCCCTTCATGTCGTCGCCCGTACCATCTTGGAAACTTTGTACTGCTACAGGATTGGGTGCCACCACATGGAATCGAAGGGCGTTGGAAAAACTCTCGCCTACTTGGAATGGAAGGGCGTTGAGTACCTGAAGAAGACGGAATATCTAAGTGTGTCACCTGACCTAAACCCCCTCGATTACCGGGTTCGGAGCGGAGCTCAACAGGGTGGTCTACAGTGGCGGAGAAATCAACTACCTCGCTGAACTCAGGCACCGAATCACGGTCGCGTGGCCAGAATCTCTCGATGGCGCTCGTCCAGAAGGCTGTGGCGGAGTTTCGTAGTGTACAATGTGTTGTTGAATATGATGGTGGAAATGTCCAATCAGAATTTAATAAAGTGTAACTTATATCGCCTTGAAAGTCGAGGAAGAAACGTGTCTTTTTTTGGGCCCCCTGTATATGCAGCAACGCTCCTCCCCTGTTCAGGATATGAATAATGCCCACTTACTTTACCCTACTCAGTGATTGCGAGTAAGCTGTGCTCAGGGTGTTCAATCAATGAGATCTTTTTACGTTTTTCAATCATGGACCTGCGCAGCTCGTCTCAGGAGGGGCACTAGGAAGCGATTTTTGTGAAGTTACGTAATGACACGATTTTTACTTCAGTACACTTCCCAAATATTGCTTCGCCAACCCCCGGATCTCCTTCCATCTAGTCTTGGGAAAATTTGCATATCCCTAGCTAAGGATCGTCCTTTTGTACCTTCTTGCGAGAAATGGTACCGAACACATCAATCAAATCAAAGAAGAAATGACGTCGAAGAAGGGATGGCATGTGAAAGAAGCCTGCATAATTTCATGACTTGACAGGAGTTGACAGGTGTCCACAAAACGGCTGTGCACATTGACAGGAATTCCCTGAATGCCCCTCCCTTATTGCCTTCTCAAGTCAAACTGCGCCTTGAGCGAGAATTCGTCCTCGAACCCAGGTTTTCAGTGGCACTCTCGTCCAGAGCACGACATCAATCGCCATGGTGCTAACCTTGTCCCCATTGCTGCGCCAGAACAGGCACATTACCGCACTAAGACCTGGTGATATACAGTAGAAAGTTGCTTGCAGAAAACCCACCTTCTAACACTATTCTGACATCGGCTTATATAACAGACAAACGCTAACTCGACCATGGTACCAAAGACGAATGAGATGCACCCTAACATCCATACATCCATAGCTAAAAAGACATGGAATCGTGGAAATCGCTTGTGAAACACTGGTAGATCGGATTTTGAACTACGGTTTGACAACATAAGAAACACGAGGCAGGTTTTTGAGGATATTCCCAAACTGAAATGGGTGGAATTACTTGCTTGTATGGAAAAATGTGCAAGGATTATATGATTAAGAATTCATTTCAGAAATTCAGTTATTTCCCTTCCAGCATCGTTCCCTTTTTCTAGGAAATCGGTAGCTCAAAGGATACAAGCAGGAAGCGCTTTTCATTGGCGGCTAAGCACTCTTGCCCTAATGGCAGTGGGTACGACGGTTGGAGGAGGGCAGTTGTTGCCACCGCCATTGGTAGAAGGGTGGCGAGAGAGCGTTTGGCCACACCCCTTTCAGCCTTTCCACCAGTGAAGTTGGAGACAACTCCCCCGCCATCGCGCCCACTGCTTTCAGGTCCTTGGGCGACAGATTAAAAAACAAAAAGGAAAGGCACAGCACTTTTCATCAAATTCATTGCTCAAAATACTGCATATTATGAAGTCTGCAAACCTGAAATGTCAAAGCTAGTAACGAGGAGATGCCAACAGTGGTTCGTGCTGGCAAGGCTTTTGGTTCCATGCAGAACGACACCCAGGAAACGATTATCGTAAGATATGTGGGAACATAGGCTTGAATAATGTAGAAACCATAGCGACGTTTGAATGTGAAAACAACCTGGAATATTTCACGATATTCAAGTTGACTTTCTTATTCTAGTTGACTTTCTATGTGAAGAAGTGTAGGATCTCGTAAGGGAAATGGCTCACTTGTACTATTTCGCGGCTTCACACAAGTATACAGGTCTCATCAAAATGTTAATTTACCCGAACCAGCAAACACTTCTAGCAAAAGTGCAAAATGCCACTCCCGAGCCGAACAGCGGCGCTCGCGCGGGGCTACCCTTTACCGTCAGACACCAGCGGGGGAGATTCGCTAGAAGTAGCGTGATGGGTACCAATGGTAGTGGTTTCGTAAATCAACTCAGGACACATCATCACTTGGGGATTTCGGACAAGTCCGCACGACCCCCCCTTTTTTTGAGGGGGGGGGGGTGTCAGGGGGGGGTTGGTACGACCTCACCTCCGGCCCTCTGTCCCTCCTCATCGAGCTGTCGAGAGGAAGGCGCGGAGGGGGGGGGGGGGAAGAGCACATGTGAAACAGGAAAAGGAAACAGGAAAAATACGATCCCCCTCCTACCGATTCTCAGATTTTCCCCAACTTCCTGCCACTTTTCCAAAGTTTCCCGAAAATTCCCTACTTTTTCCCAAAAATTTAGCTGTTGAGCGGGCGGAGAGGGGCGGGGGATTCCCCATCAACGATGGGCCTTGAACCAACTTCGGTTTTCAGTTGAAAATAAGTTGTGCGGTTGCGAATGGCAAAGCATTGAGGAGAATGAAAATAGTGTCAGCTACTGCAGAAATCAAAAAGTTAGCAAATGGCAAAAGTATAGTCAACAGTTCAGTAGAATGGGATGCTTCCACGAGTATACTCCTGAGGTATGGGCAGAAGTCTCGACCCTAGGTGGGACTCGAACCAGCGAACAGCGGCGTTAAATAACAGCTATCCTGAGAAAACAAAACAGAACAGAATGCTGTGCGACGTTCAAATATGGGTTCACGACTCTGTTCACCAAAAACGTTTTTTGAGTCTTTATTCACAGGGAAAAGCTACAGAGCGAGAATGGGAACTTCACTCTGTGACAACATAGGTCTCACCAGTCAAAGAAGGGATGAAAGTATCGGTGAGAGCAGGCCCAGAAGAGGTCTTCAGTAAAGGAAAGCGAAAGTTTCCCACTGCTCGTGGCAGGGAAATTGACCCCTCTCTCCTGCTCCTCCCCTTGCCCCCTCTCCAGTCTTTGCACCAGTTTGACAATTGTGTAAGGAGCGCAAAACAAGAAAACTCCATCTAGAGGCTCGATTACTTTCGCCAGCATGCCCTACTATTTAACTCCCTGTGAAATAATTTGGCTCAACCTGGAACACGTTGCTAGGAGCCTTCCTTTATTAGTGCAGTTCGAGATATTTCCTTTCTCAAACAGACCTGTAATTGATCCCAGTAACCATTTGGATAGAGTAGGTTCTCCTTTTTAGTCTCGTAATGAACCATGTCGAAGTCTGGTAGCTGAATTGGCTTCATCAACGTCACCGCCTCTTCCATCCATCGTAGTTGCACCTGCAACTGATTATATTGGACTTTCATAGCACTATATTCCACTTCTTGGAACGTTTTCATCGCTTTCAGTGCTTTCAAATGGCTACTAATAGGCACAAGTTCCAGTAAGTATT